TACCACAAACAGTTTAAACTGCTGCAGCAGATATTAAAAATTCCACGAGTAAGTACAAAAGCAGCTGACGAGCTGCTCTTTCCTTCCTTGTATTGTCCTGTTCCTGCTAATGTTTCAGTCTCTTATTTTGTCTGTTTGCCATGGAAAGGCACAACCCAGGAAATATCAATCCAGTTGTTGGGCCAACCTGAATGTATGACTTTTTACTTTTGTTCTGCACGAGGGGAATATCAAACACTGCTTTAAATATTCAAATGCTGGGTCACTGGTTCTTGGACATGCAGAGGCAGTGGAAAACTTTGAAGCATACAGAAGCAGGAGCAAAATGTATGATTTTTCTACATGAGAAAAGCTAGGTAGAACCTTGACTTAGTTACAAATGAGATGGTGAGGAGGCAAAAGAGGACTCTCTGTCACACTCTCATTCTCTGGGGCTTTTCCACTGCACTGGAGGTCCTGGGATTTCAGTAATGAGTCCAGGCCTATGGGCCAGGATTATGATGCTAAGGCAGGCCAGAATGTGCTTACGCTGCAAAAGGTAGGTGTTTGCTTTCCACGCATCATGTTGAATTCTAAGTCTACCCATGGCAAAGCAAAGTTAGACAACATCTTGTCAGACAGATGCTCCAATGGCTTGCAGTCACCAACAGAGCTTGGGAAGATGTTCAGAGCCCCTGCTCCAACCTTCTCCTCTGTGGTTGTTCAAGCTCTCCTCAATATTGCCATCTTCAGCATCTTTAAAATTAGATGAGTAGCTCTAATTAAATGAGTGACTAAGCAGGCGGTGCCTTCTGCAGGCTTCTCACCTCCTGCTCTGCCAGCTAACAAAGATGTTCTGGTAGAACATATGGACTCCACTCCTGATGTCCCCATCCAAAGCTCATGTTTTTCCTAACATGTAGGAGTAGAGAAAGAGTGAGAAGGTGAGATCAACTCATACCTCATGGGGTGAGGCCATGAAAGAGCATTCCAGTTGGTCAGAGCGACGCTTGTTCCAGTTCATCTGCCTGCAGTTTGACTTGTGAGTTTATGGTAGATCAATTTGTATGGATAGGGACTTTACTAGAAAGGACTATAAAATTCTAGCTCTTCTTTCCCTTGAAATGTGAAATTGGCTTAAAGATTTATCACCAAGGAGTAACGTTTCTCTCCTTTAGGAAAGAGTAAGCTTTTATCTCAAAGGAGGTATTAATCCCTATCACAGGCACCTGTGATACACAGTTCCCAGCACTTCAGCAGGTAAAAGTCTCCTCTCTGTGGTGGAACAAAGTTTCTTTATCCCTAAAAACCCTAGTCATGTGTGTTGTTTTCAGATTGTCACTCTCAGGAACCGGATTGATCAGGCTCAGAAACAGTAAGTACCCATATCCCCTTCCAAGCCCCTGGCTGGGGATATCCTCTAAGTGTTCAAAGTAGTCACTTCAGCCTCAACAACAACATTTTCTTGTTGCAATGAAATGAGGCTAAAGATGGAAGGATAACTCCCATTCTGCCTCACGCTGAGAAAATGAAGGGCAAAATGAAGTGAACATAACAGCTAAATAAAAATCACATTTCTTCATGCCATGCCTGCACAGTTTCCATCTGCTAATTCCTGGGATTTTCAAACTCCTGATTGAGATGCTTTGAATACACAAGGAGATCTAAATATCTTGTTTACGAAGGGTAAACAAGTGACTGCTAAGAATGGTGTGTAACAAAACTAACATCACAGGATTGTACTGTTACAAGTTCTTTTCACTCATCTCTCTCCTCCCGCTTTCCTTCTTCATATGACTTCTATTTAATCTGATTTTTCTGAGTCTCATGTCTTTAACTATTTTACATGTTTGCAGTGAACTTGTGGGAGACTAGGGCTAGAAGAAACCTGGAAGCTAGAGCATGTAGAAAAGTAACGGACATAGAAGAGGAGCTGCAGAGAAGCAAGGCAGAACTCTGCACTGATGGGATGTGGTCTTCTTAGTGCTTCCTAACCTAAGCAAAGCAACATCAGGATGAAATGCTGGTCTGTGAGGACATCTTTGGCCGATAGGAGTGACAGGCACTGCCTCCCCACCTCACCGCATAACCTTGCCTTATCAGACGAACATAGCACTGGGAGCTCAGTTGTCTGTAGGTGCCAAACATAAGACTGGATCTCCCTGCGGTATTTTCTGTACAGAGCTGTAGACTGATAAACCGCAACAGAATGTGCACCTGCAGAAAGGTGCAGTGGTTTGCTGCTCTTTTGAGGGATACTGCAACCTGTACTAATAACTCATAACTGTTCCCCAAAAGATATGATACATTCTCAGCACAATATTTGAAAAGGTTGCACCAGGAAGTCCACAGCTCATGAGATTTCTTTGTATTTGAATTTCTATCCAAAACAGACTGTAACATTCCGAAGCAATGTCTGCTGGTGTGTTATACGAGGATCAAGTGATCCTATTGCTTCAGATTTTTATTAAGTCTCCTTAAGCACATTCTAAAGGTTAGGCATAACATCAAACACTACAGGCGTTTGTGGAGATAAAAGGGCTCTGCCTTCATTTGAGGAGCTATAGAGTTCCTATACTGGATTTTGAACCCGTGGGGAAGTTGGCAAAAGCAACACAAAGATGAATTTAACAGAAGCAGAAATCTTTCAACTGTCTCTCATGCAAAAGTTCATTTTTCAAATAGGTCAAGTCTAAGTTGGTCTTAAGGTAAAGTATCCACTATATGTACTGTCTGTGTCACTGTGTTACATCATTCTATAAACACAGCTAGCATTCTTGAACAGATGGGGCAGTGCTACAAAAATCTGCCCAGATATGTCTTCCTCATCTTTCTCCACTCTGAAGAAATCAGTGGTTCTGAAGCAGGTATCTTTAAGGACAGCAAAGCCCTACTACGCTGTGCCTGCTCCCAACCCCACGTTCTTCCAAGTCAAAGATGTGCTTCAATTTTGCATGTGCTTTGGGTTCAAGAAGCAGCTTCACTGTCCTGTGTGTGTGAGATGGGTTTGGTGGTATGCTGTGCGCCAAAAGCCAAGATTTTACCAATGGGAGCCAGTACAGAATCTAACCCAACTAACTTCATACCTGGTCCCTCTGTGGCTCCAGGTGTGCCAGTTTCTCAGTCAGAAGGTAAGTGGCTTGCATGCAGGATTGTTCCTCTGTATGCAAGAAGATAATGTTTGGAGAGAACTTGCTTTGTGTGGGGACTGTAGCTGGACTGCTCCCATGTACAACATGAGCAAGATTGGAATATTGGGAGGCCTAAAAACTTTGAATTCTTTTGGAGACTTGCTCTAAGAAAGAAGTTATTCTGCTTGTGCTAGAGCGAAATAGTTCTAGTTGTGTTTAAATTACCGTTCAACCTGTTATCTTAGTTACCAGATAGCTAGGACTGGGGAACTCAACAAGAGCTCCCTGATGAGAAGAAAATTTTATTTAGAAACACATTCAAATCCAGATCAAAGCAGATCTGAATTCAGAAGACTTCAAATGTGTGGCAGGATAGTCTTGTTGCTTAGTTCTAAGATTGGTTGGACTTCTGTCCAGTTAATGCAGGAATCTGGAAGGGTCCACCTCTTCCAGGAATGCACATCCTGGCATTTTGCTAAGACTCAGAAATAGAAAATCTTTCCACAACATCCACAATGTTTTTCTCGGGATGTGCTCGATAATGGGTGTGCCCAGCATGTGAAAAGCAAAAGCAGCTCCATACTAATCTGAGAGTCAGAAGTAGAGTGTAGAGTGTAGGGCAGTAGAATGCCCTACTGCTTCCTTCAAACTGACATGTTTTCCTTGCCTTTTGTATTGCAGCAGCAAGAAGGCAGGAGCCAAAGGCAAGGTTGGCGGGCGCTGGAAATAAAGAACCAGGCAGAATGGCCCTTAGTGATGTGCCGAAACCCTGCTGGTCTCTTCCTTCTTCATTCACAAACCACTTGTGTTCCCGTGCCTCAGCGATAACTAAAATTGCAACATCAGCCTGGGTTGGCTATTGCTGCTGCTTTTCTTCTTCCTGGAAGGGTCTGGTGGCTTCCTCTGTCAACAGGAAGCAGGTTCCCTTTGGAAATGGGGAGACTCCTTGCTGGCATCTTCAATTCCTGCTGAGCATGTCCTTTATCCTCCTGACACCAGCCCTACGCTGTCCTGTAGATTGCTGTGTACAAATCTCTGGATTTTGTAAATAAAGCGCAACCAGTACCTACTTCAACAACAGTTGAATGATGTTTTGTATTTTACTTAATGGAAATTAAGGGTTAAACCAAATGTTTATCTAGTAATATTTGACCTGACTCTGCAAATGGGAATGAGGGAATGAGGTTCAATATCATTAACCAAGAACCAGGATTCAGGGCCAGATTTACAGCCTCCATGCAGGCAGATAAGAAAACCCAGCTCTGTTTTGAGGGAGTTCATAATCTATGTGCCTGTCTGGAATCCAAATGCAGTCGAAGCAGACTTAAAAATGTGAGTGATGAAAGGAATCAAAGGCTTGGGTGTGGGGAAATGAATTCACAGAAGTAGAAGCTTTCAGCACATGGCATTTCTTAAATGCAGATGTGGCAGCACAGCAACAGAGCACTTTTAACTCAAATATTACGCTGAAATGTTTATTGAGGCAGTTAATCAACATATAGTATTGAAATCCAATGAAGAGACACAGAACAGCTGCTAACAAACGTGGGTTCTGAGCTGTTGTGTTGAGCTGCTTTCCTCACCAGCCTCGGAGGCACTTCACTGGAAGGAAGCCTTCCAGAGATTTCCCACCTGGTTTCCTACCAAGCTTTTAGTGCCAGCTTTTCCACTATTCCCAGTTCTCTGGCTAGTATAAATGAGCCTGCTTATGGTCATCCCTGCGATGACCCTGTGAACCTTAGCGATTCTATGATTCTACCGTAAGAGCTGGCCTCCAACTCGCAACCGTCCTCCCTCCAGGGCCGGGCTTGTGAACGAGCCCCGCTGTGGCTGTAGAGGGCAGCCTTGAGAGGAGCGCAAACGTAGAAGCGCAGAATTCCACCCTGTCACTGCTCCTCCGCGCCAGCAGGGGGCGCCAGCGGCGGCGTTCTCCTCGCGTTACGCCGCTCTGTGGTCGCAGCACTTCCGGGCCGGACGGCGGCCATGGCGGCGGGCGGCAGGAAGGCCGTGTGAGCAGGCTGGGCGGTGCGGGGATGGGGTTAGCGGTGCAGTAATGCCGCTTGGTTGCTTATCGGGCCTTCTTCTCCCCTCAGGTACCCCTTGTTCCAGCTGGGCGGCCCCCAGCTGCGGATTTTCCGCCCCAACTTCTACATGTTAGCGGTGCGGCCCGGCGTGCCGCAGCCCGAGGACACCGTGCAGTTCCGCGTCTCCATGGAGTGAGTGCGGGCGGAGGGCGGCATGTCGGCCCAGGGAGCGAACGGCTCCCCGTCTGCTTTGTCCGACCTGCTGCTCTTTACGTACCTGTGGGGATGAGGGTGAGGGACTGGAAAGAGCGGTCCTTGAGAGCAGCCCTGCGGAGAAGGACCTGGGGGTCTTGGTAGATGAAAAGCTTAACGTGAGCCAGCAGTGTGCTCTTGCAGCTAGGAAAGCAAATGGGATCCTGGGCTTCATTAGAGGAGGGGTGGCCAGCAGGGACAGGGAGGTGATTGTCCTCCTCTGCTCTGCTCTTGTGAGGCCCCATCTGGAGTACTGTGTCCAGGTCTGGAGCCCCCAGTACAAGAAAGACAGGGAGCTGTTGGAGAGGGTCCAGAGGAGGGCCACAGAGATGATCAGGGGACTGGATCACCTCCCCTACAAAGACAGGCTGAGGGAGCTGAGCTTGTTCAGCCTGGAGAAAAGAAGGCTGCTGGGTGACCTCATTGCAGCCTTTCCGTACCTAAAGGGAGCCTACAAACAGGAGGGGAATCAATTCTTTGGAAGGGTAGATAACTGCAGGACAAGGGAAATGGTTTGAAGTTGAGGAAGGGAAAATTTAGGTTGGATGTCAGGGGGAAGTCCTTTACAGAGAGAGTGATGAGGTGCTGGAACAGGCTGCCCAGAGAGGTTGTGGATCCCCATCCTTGGAAGTGTTGAAGGCCAGGTTGAATGGGGCCCTGGGCAGCCTGGTCTAGTATAAATGTGGAGGTTGGTAGCCCTGCATGTGGCAGGGGGGATGGAGATTCACGATCCTTGAGGTCCCTTCCAACCCTGGCCATTCTGTGATTCTGATGGGGCTGAAGGGCCTTCTGCGTGCCAGAGCTTCCAAGGCAGAATGCAGAACATCCCGCACATTTTTACTGCTGAGGCTACAGAGAATAAAGTGTTTACAGCCACTACAGTTTATGGTTATGAGTTGCTTCAGTGGTATATGATTTATGTTGAGTTTATACTCCTGTGCAGTGAATCTACCTTGGTTTGGTTAAAGGGGAAGCCAAATTTATCCCTCTGTCTGTTTGGAGTTTAGTTAAATATTTATACTTCTGCTTTTTTCTTTCCCTGTAGTTAAATATTCATATTTCTGCTTCTTTCTTCCCCCAAAATACTGTCTCCTTGCTTAGAATGACAAAAGTGGATATCAAGAATTACCTTGAGAAAATCTATAATGTGCCAGTAGCTGCTGTGAGGACCAGGATACAGTATGGTAAGTGCAGTTGAACAATTTAAAGGGGTGGTTACAGTTTCCTTGCTCATCTGTATATTTCTTCCTTAAAATAAGTATGTGCCACTTCATATGTACCTCTTCACATTTGAATGCTTTGTTTAGATTAGAACATCAGCTTTTTCATTTAAAAACTTAATTTAAAAAGACTTAAAAATCTTGACTGATTTTCTGACCCGTACCAAATGCTTTGGTACCATTTCTTTGTGAAGACCAGCGGGTGTTTCACTCACTTCAGAAGGAGCTGCTTTGCGAGTTTACCTGACTTGTAGAGAGGAGGTGTTATGGTCTGACAAAGGCCAGAGTGTGTAGAGGGAAAAAATACTCAATTAGACAAGTAGATAATATCAGAAACACACCTTTACAATTTTTTTTCCCCTTGTAGTTACCACATTTCTGCTGTAGATTTGTACGTATCCACTTATTGTGTTTCTTCACTATGCTGCACTTGTACCAAAACAAAACAAAAAAACCCAACCCCACAAAGAAACAAAGTGTTCAAAAGACCAACTTCTTAAAAAACAAAAAACAAAAACACCAAAAGCAAAAAAACAGCCAAAAAACATCCCTAGTTTTGCTGAACTCACACATGGTGCACTCTTCTCCAATTGAGCTAGGCTGGGATTGTGTACAATCCCATTCACATATGAATGCTTCCTTTCGCAGAGCATCTCTGAATGTATTTTGTATGCTGTACAAAGTCAGGAACACCATTTTTATGTCAGGCATGTTTTTGATCAGCAGGTAGCTAATTAATCACACGGACAGTGACTTGTTGGGTAGCACACCTTTGGCTGGATTCTTCTTTTTCGTGCACTGACTAGGAAAGGAATTGATTGATGTGTTTCTAATCCCAAGAGCAGGGGCAATTTTTAAAAGGGTGTAGGGTAAAAAGGGCTGTGATAGTGAAAAATGGAGAATGAAAGATAAAGCATCAGAAGAAGGTTGTAACTCAGAACGCGTAGAAGAATAGAAGGAAAACAAAGATCATCTGCAGTATGCCTATGTAGAAACTAAAGTCTTTAATACCAAAAATATTCCCTTGTCAACAGCACTAAAAAATCTTCTTGTTAGTCCTTGTAACCTTGTTTTGTTCCTCATTACTTATGGAAGTGTTGTTAATATGTGTATAGTCAGGGATAGAAGAGGAAAGGTTTAGGATGTCTCATAGTTCAAGAGCTTTAATTCTCTTATATGCAGGGAGTAAAATGAACTTCTGAACACAACTTGCATAAAGTGAAGATGCTTTATTTTGTTGGGTTTTTTTGGGTCTGGAGTGTAATTTTCTGATTTGTTTGACAATAGATCATTCTCATTAGCTGAGCAGTAAAAATTGACCAGTCTGAAACTGCTCAGTGGTCATTTCATCATTATTTGACTGAAGCTATTAATGTTGGAAGGGCAGTTTGTTTCTCCTGGCCCTCTACTCAGAAGAGTTTCCACTTACTGCTTTGCAAAATTTGTGTTGTGACCATGAAAGCATGTCAGCAGTTTGAATCTGGTCTCCTTTCCTTACATGTGAGCAGTGTTTACCAGCTTCAGTACATTCTAGTAACTGAGACATTACTGTGTAGTATGTATGTTGATATTGATGGAATTAAGATGAGTCTTAACAAAAAATCAAGATTGGGGAAGTCCCCCCCTTCAGCCTGCTCTTCCTTTTGGGTACTTGGAAGTCCTTTGTAGTTACTGATGGGCCTCTTCTATTCTGCAGGTGCAAACAACAAGAGAAACCATAAGAATCAGAGAGTGAAGAAACCAGATTACAAGGTCGCCTACGTACAGCTGGTGAGTTCATGTGGATGCTTGCAGGGAAAGAAGAAGGAGCTGTTAATCAGCCAGGCTGGAAGGAATGCTTAGTGAATTGTCCAGTTGGCTGGCTATTTCTTCCAATCCTCTAATGTAGATTATTATTATTATTTTTTTAATGTGTTCCAGAATGTATAAAGACATTTGATGACTTAGCTGAAAAACAAATTCAAACAAAACGTTAGTTCTCAAGTCCCATTTTTGTCTGAGGCTTCTATGTAGGTTACGGTCTGATGTCATACAGTGCTGCTTTGCCAGTGAGTTTCATACTGACCCTGTACTCTGGAAAGTTCATGACTTGTGTGGTTGAGTGCTGAAATGTCCAGTAAGTAAAAGAATATATTGTAAGGATGGGGAACTTTTTATTAAAGCTCTTTGGATCTCGGAGAAGACTAAAGCATATTCCCTGAGGAGCTTTTAGTCATGTCTAGTAAGTGTGCTTTGTGGCTGAAGTGGGTTCTAAAACATATGTTGGTTGCCCAGTGGAAAAGGAGCTTCATGTTCTTATGAGTTTCTTTCGTAACAGAAGCGCATTATAGTTCAGACTTCTCTTGGGCTTACCTGGCTACAAGGAAAAAAGAAATGCCACCCATGAAAGAAAAACCTTTCACATACCAAAATTACATTAAAGGAATGCTATTTATGGTTGTAAAGCCCTAAGTTCAAAGTTGTTGTTGGCAACACAACCTCAATATTACTCTGTCCTGGGACACTGAGTTAGTGTGGGGGAGCGTTGCGTGGTCTTACAGCTTAAAGACTGTGTAAGAATTCACACAGACATTTCACTGCAGTGAAATGAAAGATGCACAGACAATGGGGAAGAACAATATTTAGTTTTTAATTGTTCAGACTTGACACGGTCTTGGAAGTTTTCCTTTAAGTCCCTTTTAGGAAGGGGTATGAAAGGAAAATGGAGAATTCTTTTTTTTGTAGGCAGCCCTTATCTATAAAAGGACAGCACGAAATGCAGCATTAGTAGAAAGTAAGAGTTTTATGTTTATATGAGGACTAACCTTCATTTACTGTGCTGGAGTTGAAGGCAACCTCCTCTGGACGAAGTCTTGAGTTTTGATGACAAAGAAAACATGCCTTTTTTCAAGAAAGAGTCTCTGATTTGTTGGACAAATTCCCCCTCTTGAAGGGAAGGCTATTGTCTGTGTAAGGTTTTTGTCTGCAAGAAATTAGGTATGACTAATGTATTAAAAACACGGCTGAGAGATTGAATGTCAGGAGTGATTTTGTCTTACGAGTTACATTCTCTGGATGATGAACCTTAGTAGGTAATTGGAGGCACTTTCTATTGTCACAACTTCTTGGTGGTGATGGCTGTGCTTTTGGAGTCTTGTTTCCCAGAATTGAAGCAGATGTGCATCTCTAGTGAACCTTGATCAGTTCTCCAATTTTACTGGACTGTATTTAAATACAGTCTTGTTTCTATGTCTGCTCAATTGAGAACGGGGGTAGTCTGCAACCCACAGACAAATTCAGGGGGAAAGAATAGAAAGCAAAATGTTGTATTTCTGTGGAAAGCCACTCATTTAAGACAGTCCCCGTGTGCATTCATTTCAGGTTAAATTTCTGAGATCAGAATAGTTGTCGTCACCATATACGTAACTGCAGTGTGGTGGGGAATTACGTGGTGTAATATTGGAAGCAGTTGTATACCAGCAGTGCTGTTGTATACCATCAGTGCTTCTCTAGCCCCTGTTTTGTCTGCTGGGCAAATTGCCCTGTGCAGACCTTTGTGGTATTGTGGTTGAAAAGCATTCGTGGTTCCTGAAAGAGCAAGTAGCCCTTGATACCCAACAGTATCAATCTAAGTCTTTATAGAATGCTGTATTTTCACCTGTGCTGTGAATGGAGTTAGGAGTTCACCTTTAAGCTTTTGTTGTGCAGCATCCTAGGTGAGAAACTGACCCTTTAAGTAAATGTCTGCATGCTCTCCACCTCATTCCTTGGCTCTTTGCAGTTTTTTCTTCTGTTGTAGTTCCCCATGAATTCTAATCTTTAGGTTTCTCTTTTTTTTCCTTTTTTTTTTTCCTTTTTTTTTCTTCCATTTGTTCTTTGCTTTTCATCACTATTTCTGGTGTCTCAGACAGTGAGCTCCCAGTTCTGTGTTCACACCAGATTTAAATGCTGGGTGAGGCCAGAAAGCCAGCGTTGTTTCTGAAATGGAAGGTTTTGCCTTCATTCTCATTCACGGTGTGATTCAGGCCAAAACAGGCCCTATGCAGTCCATTGTTAGTATCTGCCTAATTTAGAAAAGTGTGGTAACCACTGTAAAATCCCTTTTTAATGAGAATTATTTTGCATCTGCAGTGAGTCAGAGTAGCAGGGCTTTCCCACCATTTTTACCAGCTGTGTTTTCTCTCATTAATCCAGTTTCAAGTTAAAACTGCTTATGACTGGAAAAACAACTGTTTTTGGAGGGACTTGGGTTGGGCTTCGTGTTGCCCACTAGGTGGAAGTATTGCACTTCCCAGTGGGACTCCCTAGCAGCTGTTGTGTGGTTTACCTGAATGAAATGGAGCATGTTTCTCATGACTGCTTTTGCTTGCCCGCTTCATAAAACATCATCTTATGTGTTCCAGCACAATGTGCATGTCCATTAACTTACTGCAAGCGTCTCAAAGGTGGGAAGTCATAGTTGATACACCCTTGAGTGTCACAATAGTGCCCCAGCTGCTCCACATGTAAGAATTGTTGTCCTTTCTTTTCCAAATACTATTTCTTGGAGATTCAGAGCTGTTTACTTTATTCTCAGGCTGTAACTGGACAAATACATATCAGTCCAAGCATAATATTTTCACACTAAAAAAATACCTCAAATCATAGAAGGCTGTGGATCAACAATATCTTGCCATTCCAGACTCTGCCTGCCTTTTTTTCCCTTCTGGAATGTGGTGAGAAAGGTTTAAGTTGGAGATTTTTGCTTTTGCTATCAAATCCTACTTTTTAACGCTAATTTACTTTTTCTAACAAAAATGAAATCTATCTGTCTTTGCCAAGTAACTAAAGCAACAACCTTTTATCTGATGAAATTATAACTATCCTAATGTTACTTAAAAGAACGAAAAGGAAAAAAAAAAAGAAAGAAGCCACTGGTAAACTTTACAGTTACATCAACATCATGGAAATTAAAAAAAAACAACAACATCCCCTCCTCCTCCTTCACTGTTCTCACTGTTTAGCTCAGCAGGTGTTAGCACCCGTGGGAGCCCAACTGTAGACAAGCCTCTGGAATCCAGACCTATTTTTAATTAAACCTGTTTTGAGAAATCTAATGGAGATGGCTGTAAAAAGGAGTCTGACCTTGTCAACATTTGGACTAACACCTATTTAGCTACATGAATGATGGCACCGGTGGGAACATTTTTTGCAAATGCTTTCTCCTTAGACCCTGCCTGCAGTGTCCTGTATGTTCTTAGTAATTAACTCATTTGCACATCAGATGTGACATGTGATGAATTCAGAGTAAACTTGGACGCACTGTTAGCTGTACTATTCCTGTGTGGGCTTTGAAGCTGTTTCTGCGTGCTGTTTTTTCCATACATTTTAATATCAGATGTTACCATGTGCAGTAGTAGGAAAATTGTTGAAATGCACTGGATTATTAAACTGAACTGCATTTGCTGCTACTGCTGGACTGAGTCCCGTGCTGTTGGGAGTCCAACATTTTTTTAGTTAATGATACTATAAACATCATTTTTCTACTAATTCTGAAGGACAGTAGTAAGTGCTTCAGAAGACCTCACAGTTGTTTACATGAGCAGTGTTTGCTGCGTCATTCCTACACAATAATATCTTTGTTGACCTCCTTTTCCTAAACTTTTGAAGGGACTCAAAGGTCAGAAAAGTACAAGTGAGTTTGTGCTGGATAATCCTTCCAGCAATTTTCTGACATGAGGCTCAGCAGTGGGATGGCGAACACTTGACTTCATAGGCCTAATTATGGTCACTTAACCTGCCATTAAAATGAATGGAGGCAATTTGTACCACTTGATGTTGTAACTCCTTCTACAGACTCAGGGAGCAAGGTGTGTTTTCACCCTTTGTAACCACTAAGATTTGAAATGTAAGTTAAAAATCTATTTTTCAATGTTTAGGTCACTTGTTATCTTAAAAGACATTAGCATGTAATGAATGAATAATGACTCTGTACATAAATCAGTTTCACATTGGGGTAAAGCTGAAATGAAGATTAGATTTGTGCAGGAGAAAAGTTGAATGGTTCCCAATTCTGTAATCTAAACAGAGGACCACACATCTCACTTGTGTACAACCTTAGAATTCCTAGGAAGAAGGGAGGTCTCTGGGAGGACCCTAACTTGAGAATACCAACGTGGGAAAACATCACATTGGCTTTATTTTTTTAGGTACTTTTGTAATGCCTCTATGACTTCATTGCTTTATTTATTTATTCTTTAACATTTTAAGGCTTCGTATGAGAGGATGTGGAGGGAGAGCTTATCCTGACAGACTCCAAAGATATCACCTCACAGTGCTGCAGTGTCAGTAGAACGACTTTTTCACCATCCAATTCCAAGACAAACTAAATTATCTGAGCAAAATTGCCTGGGTTTTTGGGGGGTTTGGGTTTTTTTTTGTTTTTTTTTTTTTTGGTCAGTGTCTGTCTTTTTTACAGCACTTTCTTTTAGCAAAGCTGTCAGATAGGAGGGTGTTCTCACTTTCTCCTGCTTTCCTCGTGCTTCTGACTGAGGTAACCGTGCTGGCAGGAGTTCTACAGGGAGACCAGATCTTAGCTTTTTTGGAGTCCATGTCAGTTTATGAATTTCAGTAAATCAGTGAAAGGGAAGACCTCACTTAAATGGCTTACAAAAGGTAAAATGCTGAACGAATGTAAGGTTTGGGAATAAGAACACAAAACTTTGCATCCTGGTTGGATATGCCAGTAGTTCTCATTCTGACAGTTTGGAAACCTTGTAAAATCCTTGCTCTGACGAACTAAGTAGAAATTCAGTTGTTTGCTTTATTTTGGTTAGGATTTACCATATAGTTAGCAGATGACTGCTGTATAGAAGATAAAACTTTTTCAAAGGAAAATGTATATCTGAAGCAGGATTGCATAAAGGAATGAGGATCCCTCTGTTTCTTTGGTAGACATTGTTTTGAGAAGGTGGCATATGAGCTGAAACATTGGTGGCCTCTGGCACCACGTTGAAGATGCACCAAATATAAATATGCCTGGATAGACTCTCAACACATTCTGTAAGCTGATGCCTCTTGGTATTTTTGAGATTTTGAAATACCCAAGATACAGGCTTCTTTTGAAAACTAGCTACTGAGCATGCACTACAGCCATTTTTCATACAGCTTTCATCACTGCAGAGTCTTACAGCTCAGTATTACTGCATAGTATTGTTACTTAAGATTTATCAACCTTCAGTTCTCAGGGTGTAATGTCTTGGCTGTTTCAAATCGTGTCTGGCTGCCAGCCAAAATCAGAATTTCTTCACAAAACAAGAGCTGGAAAGAGCCAACTTGTCTGTGCTGATTTTGATTTATTAAAAGACTCCAGATACAGATTGACATTTTTCAGCTCAATATTTGACTTTCACCAGCCTTGAAATGGGAACTGTGAGCGCTTTGATAAACAGCTGAAAGGTTTGCCTGGTTTCACTACACCCTCTTTGCCTATCTTTTTAGATTTTTTATTCCCTCTTTTAAAAATAATAACTGTTCTGCAATGCTTAGTGAATTACCAGGAACGTTGTTAGTATGCTTTAAGGACAACTTTCCTTCATTTGCCAATAAGAGAAGTGCTTTGGTGTTGGAAGCATACCAGAATGGTAGTGCTGCATAACAAGAACCCCTTACTACAGTGTTACCAGTATGAACAGTTCTCACATTTTCAGTGTAGGTGGTATGCCTGCCATGTTATTCTGAATTGTTTTCCAATGTGTTTTACTAAAATGGCTTCCTCTCCCGGATGGATGAGTCCTTAGAATCAGAGCCTTATCTGTTCTCTAGGTACGGCGGGGCTGAGCAACCTGCTTGCAGTACAGTTTAAAAGACAGTAATTTTTTGTAATGTAAACGAGCTCTTTTCCAAATGCTTCTGTTTGCTCACTTCTTGGGCAGCCCTTGGCTGCAAGGGTGTTTGCTCTGATCCCACTGCAGGAAGAATTTCAGTAGGGTACAGCTTTGGCATTGTTCTAGGACATTGATAACACCTATTTCTGTTCCTCATATGGAACTATGCTTCAGTTGTCTTGGACAGCTATTAAAAGCATACCTGTTGGTAATTGAAAGGTACAAAAGAGTTGAAACTCCCGAGTGTACGTTGTGGAAAGGAAAACCATGATTTGTTCCAGTTGATCTTATCCAGGCTAGAATCTAGGAAGGAGCAATGTACACAGCAGCTCCCTTGTTGTTTTTGTAGTATGGTCAGGCTCTTAGGAAACCCCTAAGAAGTATGCACTAGAAAAACAACTGGAGCGTTGCTGGGTATGAGTTGATATTTCCTAGATTCTAGTCTGGGTAAGTTCAACTGGGATAAGTCATGGTTTTTCTTTCCAAAACGTATGCTTGAGGTTTAAATTCTTTCACACCTGTAAATGACCCCGTTGAGTGTATATGGCTCAATGGAACATAACACACAGGGTCAGGGACACAGTGGCAGGTTTTTTTATTATAAATTATGTCATATTTCTGATCCCAGAATGCAGTATAGATAGCTGTGTTTTGGAAGGCTCATTTCATCTCTTTTATGGAGCTGTTTCTTAATTGTGCTTCTGATTCGGTTATGTTTATTGCACAAATGTAAAGAGTAGATGATCTGAAAAAAACTGTTTTCATCCAAGGCAATTAAATGCTATTGTTGAGATTTCTGTGTAGTGTTCTGCCAATGAAGTTAATGTATGATAAGATTTGTAGGTGTTTGGGAGAATAATTTTAGAGTTATGAATTATGAGCTATCAGTTATGAGCTTCATTATGCAAAGTCCCATATGGAATGCAAGGGAATGGAAGGGCTGATATTGAGTTTAATGAAGTTGTGCTTAGTGCAAACACCACTAGAAAGCAAGCAGATAATGTTAATGGGATAGAACATTTCCACAGAATAATGGCTTCCTGCTGTTAGATAAAAACCAGAGACCAAGCAAATGTTTATTTTCCAAGTGGGAGACATAGATTTGATGATGATGTTACACTGAAATGACTTGTCTTTTAGGCAGAATGACTGATGCAGATGTAATCACTTTAATCTCATCAGTGATGGATTAGACAGATTGTTGCCACTGTAATTATTTTTACACTGTAGACTTTATTCCAGTTGATAAGAGACCTCTGATATCTGTTATTTTGTGTTCCCACATTACACCCTATAATAACAGCTGCTAGATCTGTTCTTTCTGATCCCTGACGAGATTTAAACAACTATAACCTCTACTTGTATCCTAAGTATTAACATAATGAATGCTTGCTCTGCCATGTATTTCCCTGATGGTGTGACTTCAACAAAATTGCTTATTTTCCTAATCTTGCTTTTACTATATGACTCCTACAACATATCTGAGCTGGCTCAATATCTTTGAAGAGGTCTCTCTCTCCTGACCATTCATTCCATAAAGAAAGTTGTCGATATCTTAATTTCTGCACAAAGGAGAAGAGGCAGGAAGCTGGTTTTTGATGGGGAGGGATAGGTGTGTATCTCAGGGAGAGCACTGGAAAGAGGCATTGGGAGTTAAGGATACCCTTTTGCACCAACAGAAGTTTAAGGATGGTCTTTGATTGTAGTTGTAAGTGCATGCGTTGTACCTGTTGCAGGAAGGCTCGGATGCCTTTTTGACCATCTGTTTTCTCTTTTAGGGTCAAGGGAAAACCTTTCAGTTTCCCAACCTATTTCCAGAGAAAGAAGACTCAGAAGCTGATGCTTTTGATGACTTCAGGAAAACGTTTATGGACAAAGAACAGCAGAGCCAGAAGGGTGACCCCAGACGAGGCGGAGTCCCCGATTGGTTTGGACTTTGATGCAAGAAGCCAGCTGCCTTTCTTTAGGCTCAGAGGGATTTTAATCAGTAGAACTTGCACTTTTCTTGTAATGACTGCGGGTTTATCCCTGAGCATTGCTTGCTAGTGTGGTTGTTTTGTTTTTTTTTCCCTAGCTGTTTATGCTCGACTGCAACAAAATGGCCTTAAAGAAATAAAAAGGTAAAATAAATCTGACTGCATCAGATCTTTCCTCTGAACTTGGGGACTATTTCTGCAATGTGAAATTGCTTGTTATTTCTGATTGTGAGTGTGTCATTGTACTTACCTTCTTCTTCATTCCACAGGTCATGTGAGTAGAAGTAGGAGGGATTTTGTTTCCCAGGATAAGCGTGTTTTGCACTGAATAGAATGTATAAAAGTCATGACAGGACAGCTGAAGTGGGACGAAAGTTTGTAGATAATTAGACTGCAGGCTCAGAGCATGTGTTTCCCTTATTGTCAGTTACTGTGTTTCACTGTCCTGTGCACTGCCTTCCTTCCAAAGCTGCCCCATTTCCTGGAGATGTGTGCGTGGTCTCCCTTAATGGCTATGTGGTATTTTGGACATAGGTTCTTCTAGATAGACTTGTGGCTGTGTGTGTGTGATCCCCAGAAGTCTTAAGAAGTGGACAAAGGTGGTGCACAGTCCTTGCTAGCTGTTGTGCAATGCAGGTAACTGCTTTCTGTGGTCAGTCTGCCCTAGGAACATTTAAGGGCTCAGTTGTGCTAATATTCCTTCCTCTGCCCACAGCTACCTTGCAGTGCTGGCAAGAGTCCTCTGTAGACACAGTTGTATTGGCATAAAAACGATTCTGCAAGTGTAGACTGTTTTGTGCTCTGGACTAGTAAAAAGAGTCTTTTTACTTCACTGGTGCACCTCCCTTTACTTCCAAGTTGTTGGTGCCAGGGCAGTGGTAGAACTTTTTTAGTCCTCCAAGGCTGCCACGTTTAGGTTTTTCATTTCTTGGCTCTGCAGCTGTTTCTCCTTGCTTTGATGAGGTTATTTTCTCTTTCCCTTTGTCAAGTAAAATGCTCTGCTGGTGTGTCAGGAACGGCAGGGGAAAAAGGAGTTCTAGAGAGGACGTTATCATGGATAGAAGGAAGGATGTGCTTCTGCAGGCCATTAGGTATAATGCTGGCATGTGCAGGGTTAAATGTATGGTTCATGTTTCCTCAGCTTCTGAATTCTGCCACTTGGAGCAATTGGCAGGGTAGTGAATGAGGTCTTGCCTTGAACACATCTACTCAGGTGCTCTCCATTATTGTTCCGTGCCTGAACTTTTTGTTTGGACAGCTAGCAAGATGTTTATAAGGAAACAGCTGTTCCCCAGAGAGACGATCCAAGTAAGATTTTATGCACCCCCTTCTGTTCGTTAGTTGCCTCTTTCCCCTGGCTACATTCTCTCTCCAGCACAACAGTCTGTTGCTTACAGCTTCGGTGTTTCTCCCACCCCCATCTTTATGTAGCATCCAAGGGGGATTGTGTGTGAGAAAACTGTGTTAAAAAGAGAGATGCTCTCTGAGAAGAGGGAGATAAAGGAGGATTTGCTACTCGTAGCCTGCCAGGAGAGTTACAATAGTAGATGTGGAAAAGTACTGAGTTCACTGAAAAAAAGTGTTTGTGTTTGGCATATCTGCAAAGCCAACACTTCCAGAGTTTTGTAGTGACATGTAAAACTTCAGGTTAAATTGGGAACTGGCCTGCAGTTTTGAAGTGTGAGGGCTGAATTTGTCTAGGTAAAAGGATCTCTCTTCTGCTGTATGTAGTTTTCCTCGCATTCCCCCCTTCCCCTCTTACTTTTTTTTTTTTTTTTTAATTAATGGGCTTGTTTTCAAACTTCCACCTCACTTTGAAGTTGATCCATTCTTGGTCTGAATCTTTGCTCCTACTCTATAGTATCACAAAGTTTGCTGGTTTTTTTTCATCATTTTCCTTTGTGTTAGATTCCAATTTAGGTAACTCCATCTTTACCAACGTGACAGTGAAATGACAAGAATTCATCTAGTGCTGCCATATAACTTCCTAGCTGATTGGTCAGCCTTGAGCAAGTGAACAGACAGGTATGTGGTAGTTCTGGATAAGTGAGGGTGTATTCCGTGTGTTAGGTGTAACAGCAAATTGAGATATTAACCACCAGGCTCTCTACTTTCTGTGTTGTGGTCCTCAGGAGAGTCACCAGCTTCTGTATTGGCATTGAGAACTTAGGCTGAGAGGAGTTTATTTGCAGTACCAAATATGCACTAGGCTGAGTGAGCATGAAATGTTACAGGGCAGGTCTACCATGCTTTGCTACACTGATTTCTCCATGGGTGATTAATTTTTAGCTCATGTTCAAAACAGGTTTCTGACTGGAGTGGCACGAAAGGGAAGAAATAGATGAGTGTACCCATATCTATATGAAGTTGCTACAACCAAATTATGGCAGATACTCAAGCAACTTAAGAGAGACAACTTATGTTACCAGCTTCCTCTAAAACAGTGTACCTGTGAAATTAAGGTAAGGTTAAAAAAAAAATAAAATTCAAAGTCCCATTTGCTTTAATGCTCAGTTTTCCCAAGGAAGTGTGACTGTAAAGGTGCCAAATCTTTCCTAGTCCCTTGTTGACTGGTGTTTCAGAGGAGGTGCTGGATCTTCATATACGTAGTGTTTCACAAATCCTGTCCCCTGCGCTGTAAAGGTAGGTTAGAAAATAATGGAGGTAACACTTGTACATGAAGTCAGGGTTTCTTTCAGGAACAAAGAAACATAGAGGATGAGTGGTGAAGCAAAGACAGCGAGGTCTCAGAATTATGTAGTTGTGTTGATTAAATCGTGCTCATTCCAGCACATCTTGATGTTCTGGATGATGCAAGGGATCAGCAAATCCTGTGAGGTCACATGTAGCCCTGCTTTCAGCGGTGTCAAGCTGTCCTTGGCAATGTCAGTAGCCATACCTGTGGCCAAGAGTTCCGAGTACACATGAATAACTTCTCCAAGGACCAAAGTAAAGACTTGGTTGAGGCTTTAGTGCAGGAGAAGCCACATCCCCCACTTGGCGTGCACAGCTCTGCAGCTGCTGGCTTCTCTGATGTGAAGGGGAGACGTTTCCCCTTTGTACGTGTACAACCCCCCAAAGAGAGCAACGTGCTGGAACAGTCAGCAGATGCGCAATTGCCTGCGTAGGCCACTCTAGGTGGAGAAAGGCACCCAGCTATGATGAGAGCTGTTGCAACCATACCATTAACGCTTCAGAGGGAACACACAATTGCTTTTTGTTTACTTGTATTATTTTTTTACATCAAACCAAAATGAATTGCAGAGACAGTGGCTTCGTAAAGTGACTTCTTTGACGTTATAGCTTTGAAATGAGTTTTGCACTGTAGCTCTTGCTCAGTTGGGTGCTAAAGATAGGTTCCTTGTAGATCATGTAAAAAAGAGGGGTTGTGTGCAGGTGACAGAACCCCTGTCTGTTCTAACCATTTGTCACCTGAGCCTCGCTACATGACCTCAGAGAATGGAAATGTTTCTCTTCAAGAGATTGAACTAGGAAGGCATATAGTGCAGTTCAGCTGGTAAGTGGTTAGTCTCAGAGTTCCATTTTCTGTGTTTAAGCCATGCTGTGTCAAAGATGAAGTGTATCCTGCAGATAAGTGGCTAGTTTTATGGTCTTTGTGCATCGTCCCCTCTCTGTTAGGCTACTTAATGGTTAAGAGAAAAGGCTAAGTAAAATAAACAATAGAAATGAAGCAAATACAACTTCATGGTGTATCTAGCAAATATTCCATAGCAAATAGCTCTGTATAGTGGAAAACCACGTAGGAGGAAGGGTAAATGGCTCACTTTTGTGGACAGATAAGATTGGGAATGGGTAATCTGGAGCTTCAGATGTCTACTTCCATACTGGGACTCCCTAATTACACATCTGCCAAAAGAAGAGTATTCAACAGTCTGATCCATTGTTGTCCCACTGTTGCTAAATATTTGAATGGATGCAACAGTGGGAAAATTGTGCTTGCTTGATCCAAAGTTGTCTTGCTGTGGGAAAGTGTTCATAAGTGGAAAACACCTGATCTGTTCAGGTTATCTCAACTGTATGAAAAAATCTGTAAGACAGACTGCTGCTTTTTCAGCAGTTGCCTGTTCATTGGCTTGAAGAGAGAGGTAAGGGTTGGGTGGGGGATGTCTGCTTACTGTATGAATCAGGCAGGGTGCACAAAACAAGCACTATGTTTGCTAGAAGGGCTGAAAGCCATCAAACTCTTGTATTGACAATTCTGCTTTCTCCTGAAATAGAGTTCAAGGTCTGCTCAGAGTCCAGTTTAAAACAGTTCTTTGAGAATGTCTTTCCAGACATGAGCCTTGGCTTATGTGCCAGTGCTCTTTGGTACCACGGCTAAAAAGCAGCATTGTGATAATCCTTTTTGACCACCTGAATAACACAGACCATAAAATTTCATGCAGTAGTTTCTGTGTATGGGCTAGAAAATTGCAGTTTCCATACCTGGCATGGATTTCAAGGCTTGAACTTGACAAGCATCGCAGGCCGAATTATATTTCTTTAAATAAGTTGGGCCCAAGCACCATATTGTCATCTGACCTGTGAATTTCTTAAAGTGGTTGTAATAGGGAAAAATGACCATTACTGTTTATGATTCATGTGTTTGTGGAGAAGAGAGGTAATTCTTATAAATATTATTTTCTTTAAATGGGAAAGGCTTTAGAATAGCTGAGATGATATCCTAGGATGAGACATTTCTTTTAGAGTGACTTATGGCTGTTTAGACAGAATTTACTCCTTGTATATAGTACGGCTTATCAAAGTGTGTGCTGCTATTGTGGGCACACCCAGCTTGTAGAACTCAGGAGGTATCTCGTTGTTTATTCTGTGGCCTCGAGTCTGCTGCAAAACTAATTGTTTTCATTTCAAAAAGTAACTAATTATCAGTTTCTTAACCTTTTCTGCCTTCAGCTGTTAGCAAATGCAATGAATGGAAAGCGATTACAACTTTGGAGGTATTGCATTTTCTTCTGTGGTGGCCAGTAGTTCAGAAAGCATCATTAGGCCACACGTAGTATTCTAGGCACATAGGTCTTAGGATCTGGTCCTTACATAATGCCATCAGTGCTTCATTTTTCCAAAGTTTTGGGTTGAAGAGTCAGACCAGTGTCAGTGATTCAAGGCTTGGAAAAAGTCCTTTTCTAAAAAAAGGCTGAGGAAGCTCCCTCTGTGGAATCAATGTGGTTTAGAAGCATTTTTACTGTTGTCCATTCGAACGTACCTTGAAAAAAATAATTACTGAGAGGCAAAGCATACTTTAGCATAGCAGGCAAAGGTGCAGCAAAGCAAAGTGAGTATTCTGGAAACTAAATGACTGTGGAGTGGGCAAGTGAGAACCTTATTAAGGGAGGGAGAGGCCAGGGAGTTGTTCTGGATCGCATGGTGCATTTCCAATGAGCCTGTGCTGAAAATGCAGAGCCGGTGAAGGGCCTCCTAGGTCAAACAGTCCCTTTCCTCCAACAGAGTCTGCTGCAGACCGAGCTGTGCCAATGCTTGCACACATGGCAAACCCAGTGTGTGGTGTGTCACAACAGCTGTCAAAGACTGGTCATCATACCCAGAGTCTCTAAACATCCTGTTTATCCCTGCAAGGAGGAACACTTGATTGAAAGATAAATACCAAAAAAAAAAAAAAAAAACAAAACAAAACACCCAACAACCAAAACTGGTGCTAGAAACAACATTTGCCCTTGGGCTAACAAACCTGAAAACAAAAGAAAATAAACATAGGATGGAGGCAAACAGATTTCCACACAAGGCCAGATTCTAAAAGGGATTTAGGAGCTTAGCTTGTTTTGGCATGCTTGAAAAAGAAACAGTCGTCTGGGTGCCAGGATTCTTTGGGCTCTGTATGTGTGCGCGTGCATCGGGGGGAGAGCCTGGGGAAAGGCGAGGTGGCTGCGGTGTTGTGCAGGGAACTGGAGGACATTGGAACTGCCAGAAAGCTTTGTGCAGGGTCACCCTTGGGGCATAGCTTGTACATTTAATTTTTTTTCTTATTTTCTATTTTTTTGGAAAAATTTAGCGTACTGAAAAGATCTCCACGTTGGCAGTGAGATTTTTTTTTTTTTTCTTTTCTTCTTTCTTCTCCCTCTGTTTGTTTGTTGTTCATTTGTTGCTGCACGGGAGGTCTGTTTACTTTGCTCAAGAGAATGAGGGACCCGAGAGACGTTGCTCTGCATGCAAAGCTTTTATGGAAGGGGCTAGGGGAGGAGAAGGGGAGGAACTTTCCAGGCCTTATGAAACACTACTGAGGGAGTCTGTGGGTTGTTTCGTTTGCTTCTTTGCCTGGTCCATGTTGGGTTGGTATTGCTGTTGGTTCTGTCACGGCTTCAAAGGTTAAGGGCCCATGGGCAAATCTCTACAGGGTTGCGTGAAGGGGACTGAGAAGCCCTTTGATCAGATATTAAGGCTCTGAGTATCTACTGCCTGTTCTGCAGTGTGTAACATTCATCCCATCTGCTTGTGGGGTCTTTAGTGGCAGGTTGCTTTCAAACTCAGTTTCACCACCTTCCTGTTAACCCTTCTGAATGAATTTGGCCCTGAACACTGAGGTGAATTCAGCTGTGCCATTAAGAACCTCCTACAGATAAGCCCAACTCAGCCCTTTGGTCTAGCATTGTAGTGCTTTGAAGGGGATTTTTCCAGAGCTGTGCATTGCATGATTCAGTCAACTTCTGAATGCCTCAATTTCTGCAGGTGGGCTTAATAGATCTTGTCCCAACTGGAGGAAAGGAAATGCAGGTCTGCATTGCTCTGCTTGCTTCCTGTCAGCTGGCATCTCAATGGTTGAGGCAGTTTTGTCTAGCCACCCTTCCTTATGACTATAGGAATAACTTGAAAAGGACAATAAGGAGAAAAGTAAGGGTGCTATGCAAAGGAGATGAATGTCATTAGGTTGACAAATGGAAATGTCCCCTGGGATGCATCTTTTGCATGGATTTGCATCTCAGTTCTGAGCACCGAGAGCTCATGAAGTGGACAGCTTACTGCAGTAAGAATTCCTGATGAAAATGATGGATAATTCAAATGGAACAGACTTGAGAGTAATACTGTGTTCTGCCATTTGTAGTTTTCTTACTCTTTTTTGGCTTATAAAATACCAGAAACAGATGGGTCTGCCTGTAACTTCAGTCTTGTTTTTGAAGCACCTTTTTTCTAGCACTGGTCTGTTCTTCTCTACAGCCTTGGTGCACAGCAGAAAGGATAAAATGCTGATTGGCAGAAGGATTTTGTCTGCTTTTGAGTTGACAGTCTGTGATTCTTTTGTCTGTTTCCTGTTTTAACCAATAAGAAAATTGCCTGATGTCCTGGAACATACTTCTGTGTTGTAAAGGACACACCATGTTGTGCGCAGCCAAATGGAAAGGGTGTTGAAGAACCAGCTGTGACTGTGGTTGAGGAAACTAAATAAGTCCTATTGTGAAAAGTGATTGAAAAGCCCAGAAATTATCATTCT